AAAAAAAAAAAAATTTGAAATTTTTTCCAAAAAAAATTTAAAAAGCCAGCACTTACCCTCTGCTTTCCTCGTCCTGCCCCTTGCCCCTCTGTGTCCTGATCCACTGTTCCAGCTGCAGCATGGAGCTGGTTCTCTGCACCACCCTGTCCATGCCCTGGGGCACAGCTCCATCCCCAGCATCCAGCGCCTTCTTCTCAGCCCCGTTCACAGGGACAGCTCTCAGGGGCCCTCCTGGGATGGTGCTGATGGGCAAAGTCCTGTACTCGGACCCCAAAGGCTGCAGCTTCACACTGTTAATTTTTGTTAAGGGTCTGTCCTGCCCCACTTTCTGGAATCCGTATTTTTCAGCTTCCAGAGCTTTCTTCTCCTCGTTTTTGTTCGTTTCTTTGTTCTTCTGGTTGTTTTGTGCCTCTGGTTTAATCAGCACCCGATGGTTTGAAATATTATTTGCCTCTCGAGGGGATGTATTTTCAACAGGGAACTTCTCTATCCTGGAAGGGAACACATGACAAAGCTGTAAAATGCCAAAAAACTTACAAATAGTAACTAAATACAAATAGTAACAAAAAATTAGGAGTTATTTCTGTGAACCCCTGTCCATATATTTTTCAACAATACCGTGACTTTTGAGAGAAAAAAATCAAGACATTTTCACAATAATCCGGGGCAGGTTTGGGAGTTTTGTTGTTGTTGTTTTGGTGTTCTTTTTCTTTTGTTTTTAATTATTTTAGGGGACTGGCAGTAGTGCTTGATTGGTTCGTTTTTTGGTTGGTGGATTTGGGGTTTTTCTGGTTGGCCAAGTGTGAATATTGTTTTCTTCTACACTTTCCTCGTTTTAAAAACAATGATGAGGTTTGTTTTTTTTTTAATTTAGCAGTCAATTAAAATGTATGCAACAGGAAATAAAGCCAGAGTCTGAATAAAAGTGGATGTTCAGCTCCTGGAGGGCTGAATATTCACAGGGTAAAAATATTCAGTGGCTCTCCAAGAGCTACAGCTTCCAAATGTCAACAGCCTGAAATTCAAGAGATTTTCAGAGTCAGCTTGTGATTCACAATAGTGCTGAATTTAGCATATAATGAGCTCCTGTAAAGACAGCAAATGACTTTTCATGGCCATTGGTATCAGTCAGGATTCTCTGGTAGGTGAGCACACATTTGCTGGAAAAGGACTGGGGCTTTTGTAATTTTAAGGGAGAAATAGCTGCTGCCTTTAGGAACTGTACCACAGAAATAATGAGATTTTTGGAATGCTTTCCAGCATTTACACAAGCACTCAGTGTGTGCAGTTCTATTAGTGAGCTTCTTTTTAACATTTCAAAATGTCAAGAGCCTTTAACTTTTACCATACTGGGACGACCTGAATTTCAGTTCCAGCTCAAAAAGTGACTTCTGGGTTTAGTTCACCAGGAAAAAAAACCAACCCATCACTTTAAAATGTTTTGCTCCACAATTTTTGGTATGGGAGGAAAGAAGAGAAGAAATATAATTCCTTAAGATTACATCTCTGTATAAAACCAAACCAAGAACAACATTTTATTTTAAGATGATGTTGAATTAACTTTTCGTCCTGTTTAGCATTTTTATTTTTTTGCAAATGCATTATTCATCTTTCTAACTGTGTCCAGTCCTCAAGTGTCTATAAAAAGGCCATCACACACACAATCTGCCAGCTGTAAGCATTATTTCTTACCCCATCATGAAAAAAGCCATTTATTTCCCTCCTAAGACCTTAAATTGTTCCCAAGACCAAACATTTGTGCCCTGGCTCCTTCTCAAGGTTATGGGGGAAAAAAAGAAAAAAACCAAGGATGACCTCCTCACTCCCACCTCCAACCTGTGCTACCCAGTCTTCTACCAGAAACCAAAGGAAATTCCCACCAGGAATGTGAATGAAAAACTCCATTTCCCACAATTCTCAAGTAAAGAAAGGATGTTAAGATTTCAGTTTGCAGCCAGCACTCTGGAGTTTACAAATGAATATAAAGTCTCAATAGCACCACTCCCCCTTTATCCCTCATTATACAACATAAAACATTTTATAATTCTTTCTCAGGTGGCTTTAGAGCAAAGGTGGCAAATCCAGGGTGGGGAGGGACACTGACCATGGATGTGGCACTGTGATCAATTCACACTCTCCACTGTGCTTTCATTAAAAACCAGCACCTCCCCAAATGACAGGATTGTTTTTCCAGGCATCCTCCATCACTCATTGCCAGGTGACAGAATTCCCATTTTCCAGTGTCTGGGACGTGCAGAGGCTGAAGGGTGACACCCAAACCCTCTGCTGGGCTCTCCTGGGCTGTGAACCCAAAAAGCAGCTCTGTGTGAGCCAGGGACCTCTTCCACAGAGGAGGATCCATATGGGAAAAAGCCAGCAGGAACAAAAGTCAGGACCATCAGCCCCCATGTCCCTTTGGCTCCATATTTATGGCTAACTCCCACAGCAATCCTCAACAAGGCTGGCAGGGACAAGGGGGTGACATTGAACTTGGGCCTTTCAGCACGTGCTGAATGCAATTTAGGGATTGCTGCAACCCAAAAGCAATCTTATGTGCCACATGCAGCACAGGAAAAGTATTATTTTATGCTGGTTTATATAAAGAAATAATTCAGACAGGGCTGGAGAGGGGGAGAATGTGATTAATGATCAGGTGGACAGGAGGACTGACCTAATAAAGAAAAAGGCATTTGAGAAGGCAGAGCCATCTTTCCCAGGCACACTGACACCAGCAGCCCCCCTGGGATGTCTCTGTGCTAACAAGTGCTTTTCTGGCAGCCTGGCTTAGGCTGCTCACACAAAATAACCACACAAGGAGGGAAAAAAAAATGCAATTTTCACTTAGTGCATGCTGCATCACTGAGGAGAAACAAAGGCTGCAGCACACAGGCTGCCAGAGAAAGGACACAAGAATTAGGGTGAACTGCATTTAGGGTGAACTGCATTTAGGGTGAAACACTCAATCCGTGTCTTGGTGGACACTGCCACCTACAAACACAGGCAAGCACCCAGAGAGGCTGCTGGAGATCATGGTTTGAGTCAGAAGCTTCAACAGCTTCCCCACTTACTGAAGAATTTGGTTTAATTATTTTAATAGGTCTCTCAGTACATTATTAAACTTGAATGTACTGTCTAGGTAAAATGGAAACTGTTTAGAAAGGGATAATTACAATTAAGTCAATAGGGCCAAATACTGTTTGTTCTTCCCTGCAGCCAAACATCAGAAGGGAAGATTTCTGCTGGTTAAATAGAAATCAGTTCTAAGAGAAACAGGTAAATTTTTACTTTCTCACTTCAGTATCTCATTTGTGGTTTATGGGTGGAAAGTAAGAGCAGAGGAGTTGTTTATAAAAAGCTTGGCAACACCCCTTCCCTCCCACCAACTTAATGCCTAAAATATTCCTTTTATCTTTATCCTCTGCAAGGAACTCACATCTCCAGAAAAACAGACAGGAAAAATGTGCTAAAATGATTGAAAAGATTTAGTTTAACAGACTGTTGGATCTGATTTCCAGAGTAGCATAAACAGCAAAGTATCTTAATTTCTAGGTTTAAAGAATTACACTTAATTACACTACAGAGTAAAAAACTTTGGATTTATCATTGGGCATTTTATATTAACAGGCAATTAAAAGTGGCCCAACATAATTTGACATTTAAGGAAGCAAGTTCTTAATTACTTATTTATTGTATTCCAAGTATCTGGCCTGTTAGAAAACTGTATTCAGTGCAATGTCAGAACCTCCAGAAAAACAGAACTCCAATTTGCCAAATCTGACTAAACCAAAAACCATTTATGCCAAACTTTGGGTTACTTAGAGATGAGGTAATAAGAGACTTAATACTTAACAGATTTTTACAGGCAAGAAACAGTATTTCTTCTGCATAAGATCATATCCTGCTATGTTTCATTTTAAGAACTTAACAGCCAAAAGATGGATTATTTAGAAAACAGATGTCTTAGGGTTTTCTTCCTCATTATAGCTAACAGATATGGAATTCTTTGAGACTTGCTCCTGAAATCTGTTTTCACTGCAGTAATTATTTCAAGGCTACCAACAAAGTCTTCAAAGAGGTCCCAGCTACTCCTGTCTCATTCTGAGCTTTCTTGCCTGAATTAAAAGAACAAGATGCTGTTACAGAAGTTGATTTTTCTGGCAGTTGTTTGGCTGCTGTGACATGCAGGCAGATATTCACAGTATTGAAATAGCAAATGAAGGTCATTTCACTCCTTCAGAAAAAGATTGAGAATGACCTCCCTTCAGTTTTGTTCCTCCACAATGTGTTTATACAATTGATGTGTGATTTTTGTTCAAAGTCAAGTGGGTCTGATTTGGTTTCATAATTTCTCCATATGTAAAATACCATTGTATCTGCAATACAAACCCAATTTTTCAGATAAAGTTTTTTCACTATTAAACTTCTCTGGTACCTGTGTCCATGAGATTTTTTTTTTTTATTACTTTTTTAAGCTCAGAATTTCTCAGCACTGCTGACTTTATTTAGCTCCAGGGCAGCAGGAACTAACAGAGTGGAAAACAGATCAAGTGACAGCAGCCATCAGCAAGAACTTCTGTGCTGTCAATAACGAGGAGCTTTTCAACTTCCAATTGATGAGGTTTCCATGAGAGATGCCATGGAGCTGACCCAGGGGACCACACTGAGAGAAAATGACTCTCAGTGCAGAGACAGCAGCAGGCAGGGCTCAGCCTCTGAGAACACAAAACTCCCAGTGATAATTTGATTTTGAATTTTAAGGACAGGGGGCACAAGGAAGAGAAGGCTCCAGATGAGGTAAGCATCAACCTGATGACAGCTGAATGATGAACAGGAATGGCTCCCCACAGGTTGCCCACAGGTCCAAGTGGTTGATTTAGGCAGAAACTCCAGCTGGGAATTGGAGGATGATGAGAGCTTTGAGCCAAAGGCTTCCAGCAGCTTCAGCCAGGGGGTCAAACGTGCCTGCCCATGGCACTGCATTTCCTCCCCTTCCACCTCCTGACAATCAACATTCAGAACAGAACTTCGATGATTTTGGCTGCTTCAAAGTTTTTATCCAACACTGCTCAGTCAGTAAGGGGTGTTCAGTGCCAGGAGAAAACATTTCAGCCAATTTACATTGTGCTCTAAGGGCCAGCCTGGCATTAAACAAATCAAACCAAACAAGAGAAAGCAACACCCTGTCCCCTGTTTTGTCAATCCACACTACCTTTTCACAGGCTCTGTTTGCACAAGTGCTGCATCTATCATGGCTTTCATCCACAACTCCATTTCCTTCCCTGTATCTGTGCAGAAATAATAGGTCCTCATGTTTGGATGAGCTGCCTGATTGGAAATGACATGGTCATTGCAATAAAAATGTAAGATTCTGTAAAAGAAGAGAGGCAAGTATTGTTACTGCATATTCACTCTCGTGCTTTCTCTAATAAGATTGCTGCAAATGATATGATCAGAAAAAAAAATCAAAGGAACACCACAGTGTTTCTTGGTCACAGCATTCATATTTTCAAAATATTGCCTGTAATCTTCAATAGCTGCTTCTTCATTAAAACATTAAACAAAAAGCCCTTAAATTTCTTCAATCTACTAAAAATTATATTGAGCATTCATTAATGTCGATTAATATAATTCTTATAAATGAGATTTTAGCATAGATTTTGGCAGTCTGATATAGTAAGTTTTAATTTGTACTTACCACAGTAAATAAATGATGTCTTGGTTAGGAGACCAAACAAAGTGCCAAAAGGAGCTCATAAAACAACAATAAAAAAAAAAGTCAGAACAAAATGCTTAGTAAAGTAATTTACATCATGATTTAAGATTGCCACGAAGCACTCCTAAGACTGATTAATGTAATATGGTGATTTAAATGATAAGAAACTATTATTTTTATTTATGTGTAAAGCTACTTTGTACCTAAATAACTAATGAACTTTCATTATTGGGATAAACTCAGCTGCAGATGCTGGTGAGAAAACACTCCCACTAAGTGACATCCATCCATTTCCCCACTCTGGTAATTGTTTATATTTACATCAGGCTAAGTACCTGAAGCTTTTGCTGCTCTAGAATGTGAGAATCATCCTCAGCAGCTGTTTGCCAGTGGTTTTTCAGGTGGGAAGTGCAGAGAGGGGCTGTGAGAGCTGCACACCCAGGACCAAAGGTGATCTCTCACCTTGAAGGCGAATTTTCGGTTGATGTGATCCTCAGCACACAGCACCGAGATCTGGAAGCTGGGCAGGAGGATGCTCCCCAAAATTCCTTCTTCCTTCTCGTCTGGGAAAGCACATTTGGGTTAGAGAGCAGCCCCAGCAGCACTGGCACAGGCTGAGCTCACAGCACAGGGGACACCCAGGGGACAATGGACAGCAATGACACAATCCACCCACCAACAACGGCCACAACTGCACTCAAAACACCGGGTTCAACTTTCCAACAGCCAGCTTAAAACACTGCTTAGCACTGCTGAAAAGATGCACTTTCTTCTGCTGATCCCTGGTATATTATGCTACATAATCCCCATATTAATTATGAATTATGGTTTTAATTCCCACAAAGAGTTTACACTCAATTACATCCCGTTACTAAGAATTCATACGTTTCAGATAATTTGTAAAAAAAAAAAAAATCCTCTCCCACAAAACAAACACCCTTTTCCCTGAACTTTGTTTTACACAGAATTTTAGATCAACTGATCATAATAAAAAATTGACATTTTAACTGAAAGCCACAACCAGCTTTTAAATCCAATTATAATTTAATAAAGGAATAATTGGATGCAATTCATAAAGTCGGTCTTAATTGCATTTCATGCACAGAACTTCTATTCACAATCAGTATTTCAGACTTTCCCCATAATAATTCTCTACACACAAGAAATAATTGTATCTATGAAATTAAGATGAAAACAGCTATTGCCAAATTTCAATGAAAAGTTAACACTGGTACAATTAAAATACACTTAGACAGCACGGCAGGATTATTGTTTATCTGTGAAATTAGAAATCTTTTCCAGGTTCTCATGTACTCCCTAGACTTTAAAAAGCCAGAACTTTCATTTAAGTTATTTATATGGGGAAAGCTGTGCTCAGCCATTTCAGCATCCCATATCAGGTTAGATATAAAAATTATCCTTACTGGGACAGTTGTTTAATTGCAGAGCTGAGCATAAATTTATTCTGATTAGAAGGCAGAGAAGAAATGCAGTGATTTACTTCCAGGAACTGAACCATGCCTTTAAAAATGACTGAAACCATCCCACCCTCCCTTCAAACTTGCCACACACAGGAATGTGCCCTGTCCCCAAAGCCATGGCAAATATTGGGGTTCCCTTGATTTGGATTTTTGTCTGTTCTCTTTTCCTAGGTTGTATTTTGAGTAGTGACTGAGTATAAATCCCCCAGCAGTGCCACACCAGAGCATCAAACATTTGTGTTCCACTGCTCAGCTCACGTGTGGAGCACTTTGGTTTTTGTTGGAGACACACTGCTACATTCCAGCTCCACATTTTCAAAAATCTGTTTCCAATCACTCCTGCTTTTATCTGCCCCATTTCCATCTTCACTTGTGTGCTGTGTGGGAAGAGCACACACAAAAAAAAAAGCAGATCTGCTGTCCAGTCCCAAGAACTTTTATTTGTGCCAACAACAACAACAACCCTGAAAGTGGAGAGTCCTCCATGCCCTGGGGGGAACAGAGAAGTGTTCTCTAAGCTGTGAGAAAATGCTCTGACAGGATTTTCTTTTCATCTAGAAATTGTATTTCAGCTGCTAACATTGTAACACAATTCTGGAAGTTTAGTGAGATTTAGCAACAAAACCAAAGAAACTCAACAACCACAAGCACAGCCTGTGCTTTGCTCTGGGATAAGTGCATGACCCTCCCTTTCCTATTTTTTTCAATATCTGAGCCAGAATTAACAGAAACATAAAAGGGTTTAGAGGAAAAGCTTTTTATATTTTAGCAGACACTTCTAATACACTTTGGGCTATCACTGCACATATTTAATTCCAGTTTAATAGTTTTAACTACTTTCCAGTGAGTGGTAGCTAAAAGATACATTTATCATGCAAACAATTTAGATTATTCTGCTTGTATTTCAGATTGCTGGGCAGAATAACATGTAGAAAATAAAAGGTAAGATTATAGAGCTGTTTATATTTATTTTATTCCTTGTCAGTTTTGCTTATTGCTTTTGTTTTATTCTGACAAACTTCCTGTGCAGTGCTTAAATTCAATTTAATCTCTTCTTAAAGCAGCTATAATGTAGCACTTGCATTTCAGCTTTTTGAAGAAGGGGCCTGAAGATGTGTTTAAAATGAACCTGCAAAAAGCACAGATATGTAATGACCACTTAGGTGACCCCAGTGTAACTGCAGCAGTCAGCTGATGCCTTCACAAATGGAATTTTAGCCTGATTTTGACTCAGCAGGGGTTTATCCAACTCTGTGTACCACTTGGGCTAGAGAAACAAAGCCTAATGATCATATTTGAATAATTCAGCATTTGTTAACTAAACCAGTTGCAAACAGAGCTTTTATGTTTCAGCCCTGATTTGTCTTTGACTGGATCCGTGGTGCACTTTCAGAAATCACCATTTAAATTCACCCTTCTCTGCTTTCAGCATCAGCACCACTTGTACAATCCCAAATTTCCAGCCCCCACTGGAATCCTTGGCTGCCCTTCATCCCCTGGAGGCTGCAGCTGGCTCTGGCTGCACTGCCCTGCTCTGCCAGGCTGCTCCAGCCTCCTCCTCCTCCTCCTCCTCTCAGCCTCCTGTGGATGCTGTGGACTCTTCATTCCAGCGTTGTCTGTGCTGGGTTTTCTCCTCAGGACATCTCCAGCTCCTGATCTGCAGTGCTGAAGGATCACTGAACAAACCCAGCTCCAGACCACAATGAGAAGCAGCTGATTTTTAACTTGTAAAATAAGTCTGATCCAGCTACATGAGCTGCTAACAGATTCTTTTGTTCCGAATGCAGCAGAGACTTCGTCTCACATGGAATTGAACAACGTTTCATTTTATAAGTATTCATGAACACTGATTAGAGTTCCCACAGGCACATATACCCCTTTATCATTCTAAAGGCTGAGTTTCAGCTCCCCTGCACTATATCCCTTCTCTATCCCCATTTCAGCTGCTTAATTCACAGAAAAATCAGATTTAACCTGACATACTCAGCTGTGAGAAAACTACAACCCAGAATTCAGTAACAGAGGTGGCTGTGAATGGGTTTGCCCTTGGAGCACAGCCTGGCAGGCAGGAAGCAATTATGTGGAACTGGTAATTAAGAAAAAAAAAAAAAAAAAAAAGGTAAGAGTAGCAGGCCTGGTTATTGACAGCTATACAAGTATTTTAATCCTTTCAATTAAGTAGCAGCTTATTTCTTACATCTGAGTGGTGTGTCAGGATTTATCTGCTCCCAGCAGAGTTAGCAAAGGAAGCCCCAGGAGCTGAACTTACCTCTGTAGTAGAAGAGACACAGGTCTGAGAGCACAAACCACCTCTTCTTCCACAGCTTCATGCCAGTGCTGTCCTGCAGGGATGCCAGGGTGAGGAGAGAGCTCAGGCTGGGCAGCAGAGGGGCCTGGCTGGGCTGGCAGTGCCCAGGGCTCCCTGCCCTGCCCTGCCCTGCCCTGCCTGCCCCAGGGCTCTGAGCTGCCTTCAGCCAGCACAGAACGCCACAACTGTGTGTGCTGGACAAAGCCTGCAGCCCCTGAGCCCCCCAGCACTGCACCGTGCCCCTGGTGCCAGCTGGGCACGGCTCACTGCCCCTGCAGGGCCTCACTGCCCCTCCAGGGCTGGGCACGGCTCACTGCCCCTGCAGGGCCTCACTGCCCCTGCAGGGCCTCACTGCCCCTGCAGGGCCTCACTGCCCCTGCAGGGATGGGCACAGCTCATTGCCCCTCCAGGGATGGGCACAGATCACTGCCCCTCCAGGGCCTCACTGCCCCTGCAGGGCTGGGCACAGCTCATTGCCCCTCCTGGGCCTCACTGCCCCTGCAGGGATGGGCACAGCTCACTGCCCCTCCAGGGCTGGGCACAGCTCACTGCCCCTGCAGGGCCTCACTGCTCCTCCAGGGATGGGCACAGCTCACTGCCCCTCCAGGGCCTCACTGCCCCTCCAGGGATGGGCACAGCTCACTGCCCCTGCAGGGCCTCACTGCTCCTCCAGGGCTGGGCACAGCTCACTGCCCCTGCAGGGCCTCACTGCTCCTCCAGGGATGGGCACAGCTCACTGCCCCTCCAGGGCTGGGCACAGCTCACTGACCCTCCAGGGCTGGGCACAGCTCACTGCAGGGATGGGCACAGCTCACTGACCCTCCAGGGATGGGCACAGCTCACTGACCCTCCAGGGATGGGCACGGCTCACTGCAGGGATGGGCACAGCTCACTGCTCCTCCAGGGCTGGGCACAGCTCACTGCCCCTCCAGGGCTGGGCACAGCTCACTGCCCCTCCAGGGCTGGGCACAGCTCACTGCCCCTCCTGGGCCTCACTGCCCCTGCAGGGCCTCACTGCCCCTCCAGGGCCTCACTGCCCCTCCAGGGCCTCACTGCCCCTCCAGGGCCTCACTGCCCCTCCTGGGCTGGGCACTGCCCCTGCAGGGCCTCACTGACCCCAGAAGAGATTCCCCAATACCCAACCCAAAAGTTGGGGCTCTTTGCTCTGCTCCTGTCACTGGTTCCTGGAGAAGAGAGCAGCCCCACTGCACTGGGCTGTGCACAGCAGGGAGGCTTCTCTGAGCCTCTTTTCTTCCAGGCATGCCAGACATTACAACCCACAGTTTAACTAATTAAAAATAACCAAACACGAAGCTTTTTTCTCCCAAAGAGCAAGGTAACACTTCAGGTACATCCTCCTTTGTTTTCTGAAGAAACTCTCTGTTGAACTTTGTCTTCCACTACCACTCATACATCTAGAGCAAATTTCTTTCCCAAATAAAATTTATTCCGACAGCAATTTAATTTTCTTTTATGCTTATAACCAATTTACACCACACAAATCAGAATGAAAGGCTGCCACCACTGCTGCAGTGTAAATAATCCAGAGCACTGCAGCACACACCTCCTGGCAGAATCAGATTTCATAAATATGTTAATCTGTTCCAAGAAGAAAACTATGTGTGAATTAGCAATATTCTCGTAGTAAATAGGTTTTGTGACAATGAAGCAGAAGGATTCTGTAATGAAAAACTGTGGGGTGGGTTTGTTTCTGGGGTACTTCCCCAGCCCAAGAAAAAATCAGGATAATTTTTAGCCTCGTATTTCAAGCTCTGCTCTTTCTGGGGTAGGGAAAATGAGCTGAAAGAAGAAGAAAGGATAAACCAAGCATTAGCTAGGAAACATTATTCAGAAAAAGCATGTTCATGGTAAATATTTTCCAAGAAAGGAACTCAGGCTCAGGACTTAAATTTAGCAGAAGAATATCATTACATCTATTGAGACAGCACAGCCTGAATTAAATAAAAGTTGCCAGTCTCTATGATGCCACAGAGGTTATTTTATTTTACTATGAGAAAGAATCCTGCACAAGCTTTCACTGCACATTTCTGAAGATCCTACCTGCTGATAAAACTCCTGACTGAACTGGCTCCCAAAAACTACAACATGGAAATACTCAGCAGCCCCTTTCTTACAAACACCAGGCAAACACCACAGCATTTGAACTGTCTGCCACATAAACCATGGGCAGCACTCAGGTGGATCAAGGAGTGGCTGAAGTGCCAGGAGTGGTGGCCAGTGGCCACTGTGTGCCCCAGGGGGCAATGAATCAATTAACAACTCCAAACAATTAATCAATTTGACAAGTCCCAAAATGATGAGCACACAGGCACAGAGCTCAGCACAGCTCACCCAGTGAGGGGAGAGGAGAGCCTGACACTGCACATGGTGTGCTGTCACCCCGGGGGGATCCATCTGTCACCCAGGGGGGCTCCAGCTGTCACCCAGGGGCTCCAGGGCCACAGCAGCAGGGAAATGATCAGAGTGGACAGGAATGACCCTGTGTCACCATTCACACCGTGACTGTGTGCCACCACTGTGTCACCACTGTGTCACCACTGTGTCACCATTCTGTCACCATTCACACCATGATTGTGTGTCACCAGTGTGTCACCAGTGTGTCACCATTCATATCATGATTGTGTGTCACCATTCTGTGCCACCATTCATACCATGATTGTGTCACCACTGTGCCACCACTGTGTCACCATTCTGTCACCATTCACACTGTGACTGTGTGCCACCACTGTGTCACCATTCTGTCACCATTCACACCATGATTGTGTGCCACCACTGTGTCACCATTCTCTGCCATCACTGTGTCTCCACAGTGTCTCACCATTCCATACCATGATTCTGTGCCACCACCCTGTGCCACCACCCTGTGCCATCATCCCATGTCATCACTCTGTGCCATCATCCTGTGACCATTCTGTGCCATCACTCTGTGCCACCATTCTGTGTCACCATCCTGTGCCACCACCCTGTGTCCCTGCTGGAGCTTGTGCTACATTATCACTCCAACCAAGAGAACTCTGTCACTCTGTGCCCCACAACAGAGCAACAAAATCACCTTTGTGACAATTTCCCCCTCTGAGCACTGGACAGGAGCAGAAGCCAAAGGATTGTCTAAAGCTGGGCAAAGCTTCCCCTCAACAGACACTTCCAGATTTTATTTTCTGAGTCGTTTTTAAAACCTGACTCATCACCAGCCCCCAGAAATGCAGGCAGGTCACTCCAGTCCATGTGAGTGGGCACAGTAAATGACAATGTAAATCCAAATCACACACATTTGTCTCAGCTCAGTTTAAATGATGAGTTCTTAAGGGTTCTTGGTAGATTTTAAAAACAGATTCTTAATATGGCATAATGGGTCTTGTTAATTTTTTTTTTTTTTTAATTAAGCTACTGCACTCTGAATTCCTGTAAATCAATGAAGTGCAAGTGTAGCCTGGTGTTGCAGAGTAGCAAATCTACAGCAGGCTAGAACATTGTCCCAAAATAAAGAGCACATACTTGACATTATTTTACACTCCATGGGAAAACCTAAAATAATCTCTGTTGATCATCTCTGAATAGACATATCTGTATGAAATTTATCAAGAAATTGCTTCATTTACAATTTCAGAATTGAAAATATTACTTTTAGAAAAAAAGAAAAATATATATAATCTAACAAAAGAAACTTGCAAAACCCCAATATTCTGGGTCATACACCCTCGTCCCATCACCTCAACATACCTGAAATTAAATTTCTAATTTAATTAATCAACATTGTTGTATGGTGTCCTTATTTGTGTCAGACTGACACCCAGCAAGGATTAATGAATTGAAGCCCACAGTTTCTAGTTTCATTCTGCTATTGCTGTCACTGTGTTTTATAGAAGAGGAAAGAAAGAAAGGAGGGGCTGAGGAGGGGCTGAGTACCTGTTTGTAGAGCCAGCCTCGTCTGACCACGGGTGCATTAGGATTTCTCTTTATGGAGTTGGATCTCTTCCCAAAATTATGAACCTTCTTTGAAGATCGTGATGTCTAAATTGAATTGAACACGTTAAAGAAACCACCACATCAAAAACTGCAAAAAAATCAAAACATTTTTCTTTTCTTTAAGATCTTTTTTCTTCTATGTGCTCCTCTGGGGGACTGCAAAACACAAATTCTATTCTTTTCTTAGATAAATCATTATTGCAATGGTTCTGCTGGTTTCAGCATTTCTTTCTTTTCTTCTGCAGAGAATATCAAGATAAATCCCAAGACAAGTACTGAAAGATATTTTAGTTTTTTTTTTTTAAACATGAAAAAACCCAACCAAATTCATATCTGACCTTCTAAGGTAGGCAGAATGCCTGTGGAGCTGTAGAAGAGAAGTAAACTCACAGAACTATTAATTAATTATGAAAAAAACCTACATCACTTGGGCAAGAAATGCCACTCTTCTCTGCTTCCAACACTGACCTAACTCATGAAAGCCTGCTCAGATTCCAGTAAGATATAACTCTCCCTTTCCTAAAATAAACTATTTTTTTAGTATTCTTCCTTTGTTCTGTGATCTTTTGGTTGGTTTGAATATTCATTATTTTACTTGCACTGAAGTTTACTCAGAAAAACTCCAGAGCTGGTATCAGCTGATATCTGTTAGAATTCTGCAATGATCACATGTGATTATGAGAAGTGGGAAAAAAAAAAAAAAAAAAAAAAAAAGCATTTTAGATTTCATCCTTCTACTTGAAAAACCAAAAGAAATTGGAAAAGGCACAAAGAAACCTGCAGGGCTTTGCCAATTCACACCTCACTCTTCCAAAGTTTGTTCTGCAGTTTAAAGAGCTGAACATTTCCTTTTGTGTCTGGAATTCTGTAAGAATTGGTGCCTCAGGCACTGAGGTGTCACAAAGCAAACCCCTGTGCACAAGTGAGAGTTTTTAAAGCTGAATTCACATCTCTGCTTCAAATCCACCCCTGAACTGAGCCAAGAGAATTCTGTGTTCAGCATCCCCAGCTCTGCTGCTCAGACCAACCCTGAATCCCCACGGGGGGATGCTCACCCAGCACTCAGGCTCTGCAGGAAATCTGGGTGTGGGGCTTCTCCAGGGAATTCCCTCAATGGGCAGCACAGAACTGAGCTGGGTTTGACACAAACTTCAGAGAGAATCCCACAGCACGTTCAAAACCATCAACTGAGACCTCAGTTTACAATTATGGGCAGCTTTTGTCAGTGATGCACATCATGGTGTTAATGACTCTGTCACTGATTGAAGAATAAAGTATTGCTTGGCCAAAAAAAAATAAAAAAATGATGTGTGCTTGTCTGGAGTCTACAAGACAACGAAACAAGGGTATTTGTATTTCTTTTCTGCAAGAATCATGAAGGAATATAAAGACAATCAGTGCTTTTAATTTCCCGTGGAGATAGCAGAAATGTGACTCAGCTCTGAAAAGTGAAAAGCAAGACTGAGCAAGCAATTGGAAACCTAATCAAGAAAAAAAGTAAAAAACTTCCACATTTTATGCTGAAAAGTTCTATCAGTGCAAAATGGATAAAGATTTGGAAGAAGCTAAGAGAATTATGGCATGCAGATGTGAAAAAGGAATATATAACAAAGAACATGTAAAAATCCAGTTCTAAAGTGAACTACATCTCTCCCTGTTAACCTGTACTGCTCTACTGGCACATCACACAAAAGCTGTGCTGACACTTTGATCAGAAATAATTAATAAACACTCTTACCTACTCTAATATTCCATATTAAAGGTTCAGAACCTCTCAAGAGTGTTCCAGAATTCCTGTACTTTTAAAAAATAACGAATGCATTAAGGATGCTTCTGAATGCCAAATCTACCAAACTCAGATAATTCAGAGCTCTCTAAGGCAGGGCTGATAAAAACCCACATTGAGTCCAACCAGCTGAGAACACAAACCTCCTTTAATTCACTGCAGCTCCACAAGTCCTTTCTAATTTTAGTTAATGCAGAGAACACTTTAGGTGATTTGTAATTATTTTGTCACACGCCACATAAAGAGAATAACTTCACAACAAACCCTGAACCTTTAGACAAGGAGTATTTTGGGATATTGAAACACTAAAGGTGAACATATAAACTAATTATGAGTTCTCAGATTTCAGATCTCCTCCTCCTCTTGTTGTGCCTGGCATCCCTGGCCATCCTCTCAAACATAAATAATTATCTCAAACTGTGACAGGGAAAAACAAAAAAAAAACCAAAAAAAACCTGAAGGGTGAAAGGTTCATGTCCTTATTACCCCACAGCACACACACACAAAAAACCCAAACCAAACAAAAAACAAAACAAAAAAACCCCAAAAAACAAAACAACCAAAAAACACAAAAAAAACCCCCAATAAAAAAGTATTGCTCAGCTCCAGCTTCTGGAGAAGGCAAAGAGAAAGAGAGGACAGTGACTGAATGCTCCAGCTCTTTACTGATTATTTATTTGCTGGAAGGTGCAGAAGGTCACAGAGCAAACTCAAGTCACACCTGGGACCACCTGATCCCCTCCAAGGCACAGCCCCAGCAACTCAGATACTTCCAAAATCACATCCTGTGGGAAGAACCCTGCACAAATCCAGGGCTGGGAAAGAAGCCAGTGACAGTCACTGATTTCCAAAACTTTAACTCTGGACAGAGCAGGCAGCACCTGGGGCTGCACAGTCCATCACTGCCACCCTGCAAATGGCTTTTCCTCAAAAATACAGGATTTATGTGAGGCTTCTTTCCCAGTTTCAGAACTAGCACAGAAGTCATTAATTAACATGAAATTTATTGCATGTGAAGTTGAAAAACACACGTTGAGAACATTGCCAATAAGGACATTTTCTGCATGTAAAAGAGAGCACAAATCTCTATCTTTGTTACTTTCAACTTCTGTTTAAAAAAATGTTTCCAGTCTTCAAGGTTTCCATTATCTCCCAAACCACAAAATAACATGATGCTGCTTTTTCTGGATTTTTAAAGCAATTTTGGTGCCTTCCAGTGCTGCAGTTTTCCATGAGCTGGGAGGGTTTTCTGCCTCAGCATTTCAGCCTGGGCCAGGAGGTTGCTCTTGAAGCAAATCCCCCAATCATTCACCCTTAGTGTGCTGTGGTTTGTTAATAAAACAAACTGGATCCCTTTTAGGCAAGACTATAAGAGAAGATGCACGACTTTCCTGGTCTGATCTATAATATAATATAATAAAATATGAAAACTCAGTGCAGATGTTCAGCTCTGAGCAATGCCCTGCTCCTCCCTGGGCTGTTTGTTAATGAACCTCAGCACCATTAATCCAGAATTTCCAGCTAACCTGGATCCTACACCTACAGCAGCCATTGAAAGCTGCACTGGGCTGAAATACCAAAATTAATCACTCTAAATAAAGTATGAACATTTATGGGCACTGGGAAACATCCCAGCTGAGTCAGCAGGAGCTGGCCTGGGCTAACCCTGCACTTTGTGTGACAAAAGTGTTCACCCCACTGTGCTGAATGAGCAGCAGGTCTGAAGCAGGGAGGGGGGATGGCAAGGTCACTGATTTTACACATTAAACAGCAATTTATGGCAGATAATCCTGTTTGTCCAGGTAGTGATTTGAAGAGCAGGAAGAAATATAAGGTAATAAAAGACAACTACAAAAGCAATTTCTTAATTCTGCAGAGGGATGAGAAGAAATACTTCAGGAGCAATGTGAAATCTGTGTGTTCTCACAGCCAGGGCTCTGTGCCAGTGGCTCCATGTGTGGAAAATCAGCAGCACTGACCAGAGCTGCCATTTGTCACCTGCCCCCCTCGAGTGCCCAAGGGGAAATGAAGATCAGAATTCATCAATTGGGCAGGGTCAGCAACAGCTTTGGACTGCAGAGAGTTTTTCTGACACACAACAGAAACTTCTCCAAGCTCATTTCTACCTGGGATCAATGAACATTCATGCAAGGGAGAACTTTCTCCTATAGCCCTTAACTGCCTGAACCTTTGTCTGGAACCTGGGGTCCTGTTTGCACCCCAAACCTTTTCCCATTCCTCATTACATCCCAGTATCAGGTGTGGGGTCCTGAGTTATCTCTGAAAAAAAACCACCTAAAAAATTTGGTTTGACAACCACACGAAGCATCCTTCTCCTCTGTAATAAATTCTCTGTAAATTCCCTGACCAACATTTTATTCCTGTTTTATTGTGCTACAATACCCCAGACCTCCATATATTATATTCAGAAGTTAAGAATTTCACGCCCTACTGTTTGAAGACATGAGTAAAAACACAGAAGAAAATCAGTTTTGTACCCAGGTAGAACCCAGGGGCCATTTCTATACACTCATCTTATAAAGGATTCAACTCATTATCCTTGAAGAGCTGCCAGAAAACACAGACTGATATTTGCTGTGGTTCTACTTTGCCAGCATTCACCTCCCCAAAAATCAATGTTTTTAAATGGTTTTGCACTAATTCAGACAAATTCACATCTGAAAACTGAGGTACAGTAATTACACATACAGCCACAATAATCATATTAATATTTTAAGGGCATTTAAATAAGTGGAACAGGAAGAATGAGAAGCAGAATAACAGTCCACTTTTTCCAAATATTATTTTCACAGGAAACTAAAGTGTCATTAATCAATGAAAGTAAAAGCAATCCCAGTAACTGGGCCATAGAAATCTCAATTTCTTTCTCAAAGACTATGAAACAAACACCAGGCTAAAGGGCATTTTCAACTCCTCTTTTGAAAGAGAATTGTGAGCAATGTAAGACACATGTTCCTACACTGTCATTAATTTTGCAAATTTAACCTGAGACTGATTCCCAGAAAATGAATTTTGAGAGAACAAGCTACATAATTATTGCATTCTACATCACTACCAGGGCTCCACCAAGAAATCACCTTGGGTTTTTTGCTTTTTAAGGCTTAGCTGGTTTTGAGTTTATTTTCTTCTGTTGTTGTTTGGGGGTTTTCTAGTTTGTTGTATTTTAAACCGGTTTTCCTGCATGGACTTAAACATGATCATATGAAAGTTGAGATGGATTTTGTTACTGTTCAGAATACATCAGTGACTCTCGATTTTTCCCCCCAGCAACATTAACAGATTAAGACACTTTTGTCATCAAATAACAGTTTTCTAATGTAGATCAAGGACTCTGCCTGTCTCAGGAGACATTTAAAACAACAAAAAAGTTTCCAAAATGCACTGAAGGGAACCTTGCAATGCTTCTTACCACACAGTAAGTCAATTATTTCAATCCAACTTTGTGACATGAAGGAATTTGCTCAGTTAGAACACATTCCAAAGTTGATTTTTCCCTTGCAGGCTGGATTAATCTGCTGCAAAAGCACTTCTGAGGGCTAACATTTTCAATGAGTAGCTAAATTACAGGGTTTTCCCCCTTGCTTCACTGTTAACTACTGGGTAGAAGAGATGACAGCTCTGTCACCACTGATCAAAGCTGGTCTCCTGGAAAACTTCAGGCACTTCTTAATTTTGTAGCAAGTGCACTTCTTTCTCAGGTAAAGCTGAAAATTATATTTAAAAAAAATTCAAAATGCACACAATAGGCTCATCAGCTTTATCCAATAAACCTAAAAGTTGCTGAGAACATCTGGGCATTTAACCACTTGTGAAACTGGGTGAATGCAGAAATAAAACATGAATTACCCCTGGGGTGCCCCACGCCATTTACCAGGGATTTTTCTAGGAAGTCAGGACTTGTGGTGGTGCAATGTCACCTGCTGTCAGCACAGGGTCACCTCCCAGCTGCTCCCTGCACACAATTCCAGCTCCCTGTGTCTCACCTGGACACATCCAGGCAATTGTTTGGGATGGAGCCACTTCTGCAACAACCCCTCACCAGCCACTCAAGGTTTTGCTGTGCACACAGATCAGAAAAGTCGATTTAAGTCATTTCATTACCTGCAAGTCATGAGATCTGAGGTACCTGATAAAAGTTACAGCTACAGTGACAATTTGTTTGAGACACTTCACTTTCCAAATTAAACGTGGAGGGAGTGATGTGCCCTGAAAAATGGATAAGCTTTCTTCCTGTTTTTCAGTGGAATATTAACACCCAGCACTGCCTGGCACCTCGTGGAATAACTGAGTTATTTTAGTTCTAATTTATTTGGACATAAAGACTTACTCTGCCCACAGGGCTCATTGGATGAGCAGCATAATCTGATGTCAGATTATAGTTAGTTGCTTCACATATCATGCTTACTGGTCGCTCCTTCTTTTCTTCAGATGACATTGCTGCAGCAGTCCTGAAAATAGAATATGTGATAGCACTGGAACATGCTGTGTGTGCACACTGCTAATCAAAAGCACCCCTACATGTAGCCCTGTGCAGCCTGTGTCCTACTTTGCCAATCTGAAAGCAATTCACACTTCACTGCAGAGTTACCTGCACTGTGTTTTCAACTCCACTCTATCAGGGATCAATTTTAAGATGTTGTTTAAAATCAGAATTTCTGTGTCAGCACGAGGTGTTGGTGGGAGGGAAAAAGACAGGAATGAGTGTGAGATGGACATGGGAAGGAAGTGAGATGGGAATGGGCTCTCCAAAGGCCCCAGGTGGCTTTGCCCCACTCAGGTGAGAGCAGGCACACAGGTGACATTTGGCCAGCTCTGCTGGATTTCACTCGAGCCACCGTGCCATGTGCTCAATGGTGGGGAGCAGGACACCCAGAAAACCCCGAGGTCAGCTCTGAGCTCCATGCAGACCTTCTCAATTATTGTGTTTTCTGCAGAGCTAATGCAAGCACAGCAAAGCCCAGCTATTATCCAGGGATTCAGGAAGTGGCCAAGGAAATAATCAATAGAGGAGAAAGTGCCAGGCCAAATGTTACAGATTAACAGCTTGGGACTGTCCCTCAGTGATTATAAAATTTATCCCTTTCTGGAAGTTTCTTTGATTGTTATATAATATCTAGGTTGTTTACTAAAATCACAGAATGACTGAAGTGACAAGAGGAAATTCAGAGTGCATCAGTGTGATGCATTTCCATCATACAACTAATGTGAGCTATGGTTTATAGCTGAAAAATTAGCACAAAATATTTATCATTACTTTCAAGCAATTTAAACACGTAAAACTATCTACAAATAATAAATCTTGCCACTTGTAATCACTGAATGTTACCTCACTATAAATGGGCTTTAAAGGCTGTGGTTTAGAGGGTGAAACAGAAGGCACTTACTGCTCATTCACAACAAAAATACAGTTGTCCTGGGATGGCTGTCCTGTCACTGGGTGTTTGCAGGTCACTTTTCGTTCATTGTGACTGTGAAAGAGAGAGAAAGAAATGCATCAGGCAATGAGTTCTGATTTTCCTGCTCCATTTCTGGAAATCCTGTACAGCAAATGTTATCAGTTCACAATGAAGAATATTTCATTATGGCATATAAAAACCTAAATGTACAGACTCACAAATGCATTATATATATTTATATATGTACACACACTAGAAAAAAGGAGAGAATTAGTCTTGAAAAATCTTCATTAATACTCTGAAAAGAGATAGAAAACACTGGAATTTTGGATTTTAAAAACAATAAAAGTGTTTCTAGCTCATATATGAACACAGATCATTCACTTCAGCTGTGACTTTATGTATTTATAAGCAGTATTTCAGCTGGACAGGAGACACAAGTAATTGATAAAACATTGCTGTAAAAGCAATTGTCCTCCTGCTCAGGACATGAAGACACCAGGTTAAAATCTCCAATATTACAGAGAAATACTCAGTGACTGGACAGGAGTGAGGGGTTGCAATCCCAGTTCTACTTTTGCAGTTGACTTTTAAATTCAAGGTGCTGCTCAAAAGTGCCTGGGAGAGCTGAATTCCACCCTGGGCAGCACAAAAATGTTCCTTTAGCATTAATTATCTCATTGCCCTGCACTGCACATCCTGACAGACCATTGGGAGAAACTGCCCAAATTCAACCAAAAATCCACCCCATTTTCCTGGTGCATGAATGGATAAACCTTCATAAAAACAGAGAGCAAGATCAGAACGAGCCCAGTCCTCTGCACTTGCTGCACTGCATTTCACAAAGCTCCTCCTGCTGTTTAAATGGAGAGAGTGACTGTGAGGGAGCCTGACTGAGGAGGCACCAATGGGCAGCACTTTGCTCCCTGCTCTGCCTCCAGAAGCTTTCAAAGTTTAGAGTTTAGCCCCTGCAGGAGCTGCTGTGCACAAATGGATCAGTTACAATGAGCAAAAGGACACTGAGCACTCAGTTTATTTTTTTCTTTTGTGAATCCTCTTTTTCTTCCCTTCCAAAACCGTTTTTTTTTTCCTCCCTCTGCCATTTCAGAAACTCTCACACCAAAGTGAAAAATAAAAAAAAACCAAAAAAACCCCTGTGGAGATGAGCTGGCCAAAACACTTTGCCAGAATGCTTTGCCCAAAGGTTCCCCTGTTGTTCACATAAAACCCTGCCAGGTGAGTGCCAGCTCACCCCATAAATGTGGAAATCAGTGGGTGAGGACCAGGGATACTCAGGAGCACCCAAGAGGAGGCACATCCCATGTTTTGTGTCAGGGCACCTCAGTGATGATCCAAGAAATGGAAAAGCCACACAAAACCAGGAGGGAGAGAAGGGAGAGGGTGGAAAAGTGAGAGAGGAGAGGAAGCAATATTCAAAAATATTCTGGAATATTTTGTTTCAGGTTTGAGTCATATATCAAGTTAGCATTCCAAAAAAACACCAGAAACCCCTTGAACAAAACAGAGTTTTCCTCACCAGTCACACAGATGTTGAGATGCGCAGGAGGCAGCTGAGATTCCACGAAAATGCAAAAAATGAGACAGACACGAAGCTGAATGTCCAGAACTTTCCTCCCCAAAGGGCAAGGCAAAGGCAAATCTGCATTTTCCTTCCCTGCAGCTGAGGCAGGACTGGAATCTCATGGGTGAACACTGGGAATTCCAGCTCGTGCAACTGAGAGTGATGACTGGAAATATGTCTGAGTGCATGAATAGATTTTAAATACTTGCATTTGAAAACTTTCCTCATTGCTCATCTAATTACTGCATTTTTGGCAGTAATTTAGCTGATATTTTGACAAGGCTCCTCAAAATACTTGCACAAGGTGTAGTGAAGCTTGATAATTATTGTCATAACCCTCCCACATAACAGCAGGTTAAGGCATTTGTTTTAAACTCCCCTTTGCAGAGTACAGAGAGTTTTATTCAAGCTACAATTTGATATTCACAATCTTCACCATCCAATTCAGACAGCTGTTCAGTTATCCACACATTTCTGGGTACACACACACTTGGAATTTCATTGTACTACAATAATCTATACATCAGAAATAAATCTCAGGGGAAATAAAGCAAAAATCTATTTTTTTTTTTAAATTAACTGAGAACTCTAATTTCAACTTTATACCAAGTCCAATGTGTAATTCAGAGTTCACCTGTGCATATTTATGTGTCTGTAGTTTCACATGTGGTAAGAGAATGATTCATTTGGACACAGCCAGCTTGAAGCCAGTGTGTTACATTTATTTATGCAGAGGTGCAGCCTCTTCCTTCTCTTCCTTCTCCTTCCAGCTTTTCCCATGTTTTGAGAACACAGAACAACCACAAAGTGCTCTGCACTCAGACTGAAGGCCATAACTGACCCTCACTAATTTATTATCTGTATTAATGGCACTAATAATTTAAACAATAGAGACAGACAGGAAAAACTTCCCTGTGGATTTTATTAATATTCATGAGCATGTTCTCCAGACTTGCTACGTGGTACAAACTATTCCTTATTAATATTTGCTACTGGAATGTGCTGGGCTCCAGAAATCGACATTAAAATGACATGAGACAAAATAAAGCAGAGTTCTTGCATGTATCAAGACAATATTCTGGTTTTATACCAGCCATGAAAGAATCAAAAACAAACGAAACCAAACAAACAATAAATAGGAAAACACAAAACCTAACCACACCAAAACTGCCTCACATGATAGATATCTGATTGGATACATGATAAATATGATCAGATATCTGACTGGATACATGATAAATATCTGAGAGAGAGATATCTGATTAGATACATGATAAATACGATTAGATACAAGATAAATATCTAATTAGATATCTGATTAATACATGATAGATATCTGATTAATGCATGATAGATACCTGATTAATACATGATAGAGATCTGATTAATATATGATAGATATTTGATTAACACATGATAGATACCTGATTAGATACATGATAGATATCTAATTAATATATAATAGATATCTGATTAGATATCTGATAGATATCTGATTAATACATGACAGATACCTGATTAAATATCTCAGTGCAAGACAACTGATACCAACCTAAAAGCACCAACTTAGCTTGACCCCTTTTCTCCAGGATTTTCCTTCCAACTTCTCCTTTCCCATTCTCTCCTCTGCAAACTGCAAGCTCTGGCATCATTTCTGAGGCAGCTCAGTTCTGGCACATGGACAAGCCCTCAGAGCAAAAAGATTTCTCCTGTTCAGGTTAGAAACGACACTAACCTTGAATTTGACTCATGTTATTTGTCTTCTTATCTGCTCTCTTTCTCCTTTCCATCCTTTGAGACTTTTAATCTCTTCAGAAGACAGGATTATTCCACTTATTTTCTAGACATGTCCAAAAAACCCTTGTTGTGTAGTTTGAATCTACTCACTAAATGTACAGTCAACAGCAATCTTTTTGTTGGCTTAATGCAATCCAAGGACTACTGAAAACGAAAAAAGAAATAAAAATCCCTCAAATTTATCATCCAGAGATGTTTTTCTATGTGTAAGCAGCAACTAAAGCACATCACTCCAGGTGCAGAGTGTGCCAGCAGAAATCCTACACGAGCTGGGATCTTTCTTTTCATTTTATTTGTGTTTACAGGACTGCTGACCCCAAATGCTGTGCACCAACGTTTTGTTCTAACACAGCTTACAAAAATCAGCCAAACTGAAATTCTGATGGGTTTTGCTGTTTTGAGATCTCTATCATCTTTGTCAGTGCACTGCACAGGAAATTCACTCAGAGAAGTGGAGCTGGAATGGGAAAAGGGGAGAGATGGAATTCAGTTGCACAGGATGATGCACAAAGATAAAATGAAGGGTTAGACCCCCTGGACCAGAGCAGCTCAACCAAAAGTGGCAACAAAAATCAAAGAAGCAGGGTGGAAACAGCTGGTTTGGGGTCTCTCCATTGAATGATTTGGTTGAGCTCCCTGTCCTCTTAAATAAAAAATAAAATAAAAAAAGAAATAGCTGGGCCACAAGTCCCAAAGACACATCTGGTTTTCTCCCACTCGAATTAAAACGAGATGCCACTTCAAAGCTCCTCTCAGGCCCTTTCTGTGCAGCCTTTATTTATGTGTTCCTCAGTGCTCACTGTCATCGTGGCCATCAAAGCCAAGGCTGGATACAAACATCACAAAAAACCAGGACAGACTTTTCAGAGGCCTCCACATCCTTCATTTAGAAACTGCAGAACACACTTCAGGAGAATGCTGCATTAAATATCTGCTCCCTAACATTTATTCCATGTTTTAAGATTCACAGACTGGCAATCTCATCTCTATTCTATATACACACAGTCCCTACACATCACAAATAGAGATATTTCTTATGAGAAGCAGTTTTATGCATTTGTCAGGACAAAATATTTTAAAAGATGACAAATAAGGCAAGAAGACCAAGATTAGCAGAGCAATAAAGTCATTCCCCTCTGCATTAATGCTGAATTTTTGCACTGATATTTCAAGGCAAGGTTCAACTGGAAACAAACATAAGACAAGTCTAGGCCAGTTTTTTTGGTTTTATTTTTCTTTTTTTTTGTTGTTGTTGTTTGGCTTCTGTGCAGCCTTTCATTCCTCACCTGGGCAGGGGGAGTGGGGGCTGAATCAAATCATCCATTTCTACCTTGTGTGCTTGCTTTGTTGCCATAAGAATGTCTCATTTCTTATAGGAATAAATGCAATTTCCTAACAAAAAGTTGTCTGAACTTGGAAAAAATTTAAGTAAATGCAGTCCCTCCACAACTGCAAGCAAGGATGTGGTCTGTGGCTACACTGACACTTCTATTTTACTAAATCTGCAATGCCACATTTTACAGCAAACAGCAAATGCAAGCACTTTTTTGCCAGTGCTATCATACCCTGGAATTAGGAGCCTTTTTTCAATTAAGGTTTTTAAACAGCAAGTTTGGAAATGGGGCTGCAAAGCTCCACAGGGGAACATGTGAGCATGGAAAGTGAACATCAGGGAGAACCAGAAAAAGGGGAGAGGAGAGACAGCCCCAAAAAAGGAGAGAAGAGACAGCCTGAAAAAAGGGGAGAGAAAAGAGCCCCAAAAAAGGGGAGAGAAAAGAGACAGACCTAAAAAAGGGGGAAGAGAAGAGACAGCCCCAAAAATGGGGGAGAAGAGACAGGGGAGAGAAAAGAGACAGCCCCAAAAAAAGGGGAGGAGAACAGAGAGACAGCCCCAAA